GGCCAAGCCAAGAGATTTCCTTCTGATCCCTCCACCCAGGGGTCCCACTTGTTTCAGTGTTTGTACGGTTCTCTGTCCTCCTGGAGGCTTCTCTAACCCCTACCCGCCCCACATCTGCTGCTGTTTCCCCACAGAAGAATGAGGTCCTTAAGGACGAAGACGGTCTCATCTCGGGACCGCAGTGGGTCCCGCCCCAGGCAGATGCTCAGTGAGTAACAAGAACGGAGCACGATCAGGAAGTTTTAGGGCACATCTTAGGATCCATATCTCCAAATGTAAAGCTTAACATGCACCATCACTGGTAACAATACATCCTTATCAGAACTGGCCCTCTAGGAATGAGTACTGAAATCCCACATGTGTGAGAATTTTTTAAGGTTGACATCTTCAGCTGAGAACCCTTACTAAAATAAGGAAAAGAAACACTCTCTTCACAAAGTCTCTCAGCAGAGGAATGGGAGGAAGGAGGGCTTTTCGGTTAACCATTTAACTTGAGACCTACATTTAAACCCTTCTAACGTTCAGTGGTTCACCACTGCCTATCGGGATCGAAGTTAAACTTCTCAGTATGGAATTGAATGCGACTTGTGTTCTGGCCCCTGAATAGCTTTCTGGTTTTATCTCCTACTATCATTTTTTTGAAAAAATTGGACCCCAGCCATGCTACATTTTTTTCCCCCTTCAGTTCTCCCTGGCCTTTGCATCTGCTGTTCCCTCTTGCTGAAATGCCTTTCCCCCTACGCTTCCACTGTAGCTCCGTTTGCGGCTGCCGCCCACAGCAGCTTGCCCTGGTCTGGCCTATCCAGGGGATGGCATTTTCCAGCACGGGCTTGTGCCTAGGACTAATGCCAGCCCTAGAGCTGCAGGCTGTGCTCTGCCCATAACAGGCCATTCATGAACATTAACCTGGACCAGCAACATCTACATGTGGGAAAAAGGGTCTGTGGAAGAGGCAGGAGGATGGCTACAAAGTCACTCACAGTAAAACCACTTCTCATCTCTGATACAGAAATAATTTCTGGACAAAGGTCTGAAGATAGAACATAACAGTGTAAGGTGGATGCCAGCAGGACTCCTTACAACAGAAAAAGGGCCTCAGGGTAAGAGGCTTATGGCTTAGAATCTGTGCTCGAGGGCTTACTAGCAGGGGTTCCCTAGTGAGTCACTTCTGCTCATGTTAACTGTACTCAGTGGGGCGGGTAACACTGGTAACACCTACGAACTCGCTCCACAAAGCGCTGGGTTGTTAGGACACGCTCAGTACATGTTCTCTTCCTTCCCTGGACTGTGTGGCTTTATCACGGAAGGAGTCATGCTCTTCCCCGAGGGACAGAAATTCACTACAGACAGGTTTAGTGCTTCATTTTCACTTTCACCATGCAGGAAATTGAATGATCTTTTTTTTTTTTTTTTTTTAAAGATGATTTTAAATGACAATGCTCTAGGTTTGTGTTTTCTAATGGGGTAGCCACTAGCAGCCAATTTAATTAAAATTCATGTAAAATTCAGTTCCTAAAGTCTCACCAGCCACAGCAGCCACGTGTGGCCAGTGGGTAGCGTGTTAAGATAGTAGAGAATACCACCATTTCCATCATGGTAGTTGTTCTCCTGGACTAACTGAATAAGTGAACTCAGAGTTGAAGAGCACACAGGAATGCTATAAAACACACACATTTTAAGGAGAAGGGCACTGTTTTCATTTGAGATGGCACTGATAAAAATGACAAGTTATTTATCAGCATGTGAAAACAAGTTGGAAGGGGACAAATTCCTACCAATTCAAAGGCTGAAGAAAGACCCCAACAAGTCTGTCTTCCTACATTTGAATTCTTCAGGACATTACAAACACAGACTAAGAAAAATTAACAGAGTAAGAAATCATTTTAATCTATAATATGACCCAATTTTTACAACCAAATCATATGCATAAATCCAATTATCTTCTCACTGAGAGAACAGGTTTTCTCTTTTGTTAACTTCATTTTCTAAAACACATTATATATTCATATATTAGCCAAAACAAAATTAAGAAAAGAACCAACTGAGCTGAGTCCATCTCAGAAAGTTATACTAGGGCTCGCTTCTGGGTTTTGGTGAGAAACGGGAACAGGAGGCAGAGGGGACAAGTTGCAGGGAGAACAAAACCATCTTGACATTAGTATCACAGTCATCAGTAAGCAAAGGCCGACGTGCTGTCCACGGCCAGGTGGGTCTGGTGACCCCTGCCCTCTATGCCTGACTGTGCCTGCCTTGAGCAGTTAGTCTCAGCCATGGGCTGGGTGGGCTTCAGAGTTATGGTCACACATCACCTGCCACAACATTTCACTGAGGGGAGGGGGCTTTTCTGTTCTTGGTCTCCTCCCTCCAGTTCACTGGCTCTGGTTCACTGGAAATACATGAACTCTGGAGTCAAAAGTATATCACATTTTGGATTGAGAGCCAAAATCTCTCAATTTCACTGTATGTGCAACCTTGGGCAGGTTGTGACCCTCTCTGAAGGTGAGCATGATCATCCGAAGGTGGATGCTTCCTGGCTTCCGAGAGAGGCGGACGAACTACCACAGAAAACAGTGTTCTCCTCACTGGAAAAGGAAGCACAAATGTCAGTTCTGATTACCTGTCACTCAACCTGAATGTGTAAGCCTTCTCTGTGGAAAGTGACATCACCTCTCGGACACCCCACTTGTCCCTTGGCCACTTTCTCTGCACATAACTGAAATATAATGAGATCTTTGGAAAACAGATGATGATTAACAGTAATAATAATAATGACAGTAATAATAATATACAACAGTAATAATAATAATACTTACTGGCATGTAAGTATTTATTCTGTGCCAGTCACTCGTTATTATGCATAATTAAGCATCCCTTTTAAGTCTCATTAGGAAGGCAACAAAATCGATGATAACAAGGTAACTAACTGAGGCCCAGAGAGTTTAAGTTGTTTAAATGGGGCCATCTAGTCATTCGGTGCAAAGTCAGGATTTGAGTGAAAGTATTCCCAGCTCTGGAGCACAGGTAGTAGTTAAACATATCAGGCTGATCTGGGTCCAAATCTGGCTCTTCCGCTGAGTAACAGCATAATCTCTGAATCCCTGTGCCTCAGTGTCCTTTTGCAGGAAATGGAGATGATCCCATGTACCGTGGAGAGTTCTTGTGAGCACTGTGATAATGTTCTTAAAATGCCAGGCACAGAGAAGTTGAATACATGATGGCCACAGGCCAGCAAAATGAGCCTCATTATTTCTCTGACCTTAGAGACATAGCTGCATTGGCTTCGCTTCTGAAATAAGCAGCTTGAAAGAAACAGGACCACATTTTAAGGACCCACAGTGCCAGAAAAATAAAAGCTGCCAATCGACAGGCAGAAGGGCCCTCGCATTGCTCCCAACTACTGAGACACGCTCACGGCGGCAGAGTGCGGGCTCCTGAGTGTGAACACAGTCACCCGTCCATCAGGCAGAGCACACGCTCAGAGCAAGGCAGTCCTCTCTAACCTGAGAAAGTCGCTAAGTACTTCACCTCTTATTCTGTCCAAATAAGGATGGGAAAGGGAGATACTATGTTCTTCCTGCTTTTAATTAAATTTCAAGAAAGAGAGAGAGCAGGATCTTCCTACTACCACAATCATATCCTGCTTGGCTTGGAAAGAGGGGCTATTTGGTCAAAGGCTGAAGTGCTCTGGAAGCATATGATTTTCCACAAGAAGCCAGGATGCCCTCGTAGTATCACAGAGAGCACGGTTCTTTAAAACAAATTAGAAAACAAATTTTAAAAAATGAAGTGCTTTCTTAACACATCACCCACCAACCCCTCCTGAAAGCCTACTTCGAAGCTCCAAGTACTGATTTCCAGCTAGCGGGGCTGATACTTTCTCGATACATTCCACTTGAGTCCTGTGGTGGTTAAGAAACTTAAAGGGACAAGGGTTAATTCGTAGAAGTACTAATTAACCACAAATGTATCTCGACAGTTCAGGTCAAAGAGCTTGCTGATAGTGATATGCTGGGCTCACATTTAGAGAGTCTTAAAAATAGAGATGTCCAGGCCCAAATCCAGGCTTACCAAATTCAGATTTCTGACGTTATCAAGAGCGTGCACTCTAGAGTCACAGAGACCTGGCTGTAAGACTTGGTTCTATCACCTTCTACATGTAAGTTCTATGAGGACATGGATCTTTGCTTTTCTTTTGTTACTGTTTTCTGCATCAAAAAAATTAAGATAAAATTCATGTAATGTAAAATCTACCACTTCAAAGTGTACAATTCAGTGGTGTTTAGTATGTTCACAATGTGGTGCAACTGTCCCCACTAATTCGAGAACACGGCCGTCACCCCAAGAAGGAAGCCCGTACCTGTTAGCAATGGTTCCCAGTTCCTCCCTTGCCCTAGCAAACAATACTCTGCTTTCTGTCTCAGTGGACCTGTCTCTATGGGTATTTTGTTTAAACAGAATCCTACAGTATGGGGCCTTCCACATCAGGCTTCTTTCACTTAGAACGTTTCAGATCTTAGTCCCTGCTACAGCACGTATATGGCTTTATATCCCTCCTGGGAGCTTCTGGAGTGTGATCTGAAACTGGCCGCTGTACACAGAGCGCAGGAAGAGACCTGCGAGAGCAGCGGGCCCCTGCAGGTGGGCAGGGGCAGTTTCCATAAAAGCAAAGGGAGCTGACATGTGAGTGTTGTCTTGGGCGGCAGCTATGTGACTGGGTCCCTGCACCTGCCTTCCAAATGTCCAAAGTTTATAAAGAGACCCCAACTGTGCTCAGTCATGCATACACTGCGCAGGCGTTCTCAATGCCACATCATCATCTCAAGGCCATGTCCTTGGGGCAGCCTCTGGGAATGGGAAAGGCAAGCAGAACCCACATTCCAAGCACAGCGGAGGGAGTGGAGCGCCACGGTCCGGCTCATGGGGCAATCCGCAGTCATACAGCCCAATAGCATCCCACCGCACTGTAGTACCGTACTTTGGGCATCAGTGGATGGGCATTTGGGTGTTTCTACACTTTGGCTACTGTGAATAATGAGGCTATAAATATGTATGAACACATTCTTGTTCATTTTGTTAACATGTTGTTAAATACTTGTTTTCACTCCTCTTGGGTTATCTACCTAGGCATACGATTGCAAGGCCATGTAATTCTAGGCTTAAATTTTTGAGGAACTGCCAAGAGATCTTCCAAAGTAGCTGCACCTACTTACATTTCTTTCAGCAACGTATTGTGGGCTCCAATTTCTCTACATTCTCGCCAAGACCTAGTTTCCATTTTGTTGTTGCTATTGTTTTTTTTAAATCCTGCCATCCTAGTGGGGGCAAAGTGGTATCTCATTGTGGTTTTGGTTTGTATTTTCCTCAATGACTAATGACATTGAGATTTGTTTCTTGTGGTTTTGGCCATTGTGTATCTTTTCCAGAGAAATGGCTATTAAAATTCTTTGCCCACTTTTAAAATGGATTATCTTTTTGTTGTTAAGTTGTAGGAGTTCTTTATATATTCTGGATACCAGACCCTTATCAGATAAATGATTTGCAATTATTTTCCTCCCATTCTGTGGGCTTTTTCATTTTTTTTTTTTAATTTTTAATTTTTAAAGATTTTATTTGACCGAGAAAGAAAGAAAGAGGCAGAATAAGCAGGGGGAGCAGCAGGCAGAGGGAGAGGGAGAAGCAGGCTCCCCGCTGAGCAGGGAACCTGATGTGGGGCTCGATCCCAGGACCCTGGGATCATGACCTGAGCCAAAAGCAGATGCTTAATTGACTGCGCCACCCAGACGCCCCTTTGTTTTCTTAATAATGTCCTTTCACTCACAAAACCTTTTTGAATTTTGAAGTCCAACTTATCTATTTCTTTTTTTTTTTTTTTTAAGATTTTATTTATTTATTTGACAGAGACAGAGATCACAAGCAGGCGGAGAGGCAGGCAGAGAGAGGGGAAGGGAAGCAGGCTCTGTGCTGAGCAGTGAGCCCGATGTAGGGTCGATCCCAGGACCCTGAGATCATGACCTGAGCCAAAGGCAGAGGCTTAATCCACTGAGCCACCCAGGCAGCCCCAACTTATCTATTTCTTCCTTTGGTTTCTTCTGCTTTGTCCCCTTTGGCATGTTTACCAAGCATCTACTGAATGAATGTGCCTTTGGGTAAGTTACTCATCCTTCCAGAGCTACAATTTCCTGATTGCCCTTGATAAATGTTAGCTATTATTATTTTAAAATTAAGGATAATATAGTAATGTTTGTAAGTGCTCATGATCCTGCAGATCACAATGGCACTTGCTAGGTGGTAAAAGCAGTGGGTGAGCAGTAGGATATTATGCTTGTTCTGGAAGTAGCATGCTCCCCACAATGTTCAGGTGTGAAAGTGACAAGCAGTTGGTGTGGGTGAGCTGGAAAGGGTAACACAAAGTCAGAAGCTCTTCTTTTCTGCTCCCCGTATTGTTCCATTGCAGCAGCTGCATCCCCGCTGAAGTGCTGGGGCTGTACAGGGTGTTACCAGAGCAAACTTACTCTTAGATGCCCCTTGACTTTGTACTGAAAATCATTTGGGGAACTGGAGTAAGTACTTAGGATATGAAATCCTTTTTTTTTTTTTTTTTTAAAGGATTTTATTTCTTTCTTTGACAGAGAGAGAGAGTGAGTGCACAAGCAGGGAGAGTGGCAGGCAGTGGGAGGGGGAGACGCAGGCTCCCCGCTGAGCAGAGAGAGCCCAACACAGGGCTGGATCCCAGGACCCTGGGATTGTGACGCAAGCCGAAGGCAGACACTTTACCGACTGAGCCACCCAAGCACCCCCACCCCCACTGCTTCTGAGTTAGGTAGAGATGGTTTATAAGTCTATTAAGGGTTTCTGAGGAATTGCCTGAAGTAGGAAAGAATGAAAGAGTATTACCCTGGCTTCTTGCTATGTGGGAATTCTTGAGGTTCAACCAGGGGCAGAACCCCATTATAACCTCTTCCCAGAAGGAGGGAATACCTCTTCCCACAGGGAGGTTTTTACTGTGTGGGGTTTCCTTCTGCTATCTCTCTGCTTCAGAGAGACTCTTCTACCAGATTCCAAGGACCAGATGCCAGCCATCCCAAGTCTACTCCCGGCTGCCGCCACCCGCCACCCCCCACTTCAAGGAGCCCTTCTCAGTCCACCTGGATGAAAGTCTCTCCTTCTCCTGATGCCCTATCAGCAGTTACTTCCAAGGCCCACTGTGATGACTGATGACCCAACTCACTTCCTGTACCAGAGAATTAGCTCCTGAGAGCAGAGTACTTGTTTTAAAGAACCTGGACTTTGTCAGTAGATGGATAAGTAGTTCTGGAAAGTGAAAAAGCAGGGAGCGAAGGAATGAAGGGGAGGACGCATTAGCTACCCAGGTTGCTCTTCTTTTCACCTTTAGGAACAAAGGTTAAGAACTGTATAGTTTACAAAACATCTTACATCTTGGAAAGCTAATGTTTGTGGAGGTTAAACCCTTCTCTGTACGGTAAGAGAATGTGAGATCAGAAGATTTCTGGGGTGCCTGGCTGGCTCACTTGGTGAAGCATGCAACGCCTGGTCTCAGGGTTTTGAGTCTGAGCACCACACTGGGCGTACAGCTTACTTTAAAAAAGAGAGAGAGATTTCTAAAATCAGGTAAAATCAGATTTGCTGCCAAAGTGTTGTAATGGAGAAGACTGAGAGGTTCCCTTATTTCTGTAGAGGTTTCAAAGCAATGATGCATTTCTAGGAAAACTGAAATTGGTGAAAGATGAAAAATTCACCCGAAACTAAAATTAGGGACCAGGTCTTTAGCATGAGGCTGTCACAGGCAAATTTTGTCTTATAAACCTGCAGCTGTTTCCATTTCAATGTATTTTTTCCTTGTATGTGATACACATTTATTTATAAAAGGTGGAATTTATTTTGAAAAGAAGAAAAAAGTTAACAAATCAGATCTGTGTAAATAACAATTTGGTCGTTAAAAGCTTCTCTTGAAACAATTCTGTACGATCCATGTATGAACGAATGATACCAGTGCCACTTGGAATCCTCAGAGCTGCAAACACATACAATGTAGTCGGCTCCACATGCATTATCTCATTTAATTCTCACATCTACTAACCTTAACCCCACTTTACAGCTTAGGGCGCTGAGGGTTAAAGAGGAACCGGATGAAGATGACACAGTCACCTGGCTGCAGAGCCAAGGTCTGAACTCACCTTTCTGACTCGCGCCTTCTGTGCATTCCACAGTATTAACGCTGACCTCCTTAACTGTCTCAGCCAAATATAAAGATCTTACTAGAGCATTACAAATTTTAATAATGGGCACGTTTTCACATAAAAACTCTACCAGAAAACCCACGAAAGCTAATCCAGTAAATAAACAAGAAGTAAATAAGCAAATGCAATACCACAGAATCTCAAGCATAATAAAAATGCAACATTAATAAGCAAAAATGGTGCTGGTATATACAGCGGATGTACCACCATTTCGTAGGAATCTGAGTATAGAGGCAAAGTATTCTTAGTGTCCCAAGTATTTAATTTCACCTAATTTAGATGACAAAGAAAAACACTCCAAGTAGGTATACTTGGAACAAATGACCCGATAATAGGTAAAATGCCAAGTAAGGGAGGAGGGCGTGGAGGTCACTGGGGCCTCTGTCACAACAGGGACGTGACAGGGACGCATGTATCTGTAACAAGAGCTTTACAGACTGTCAAGGCCACTGTCAGGATTTCTAAGTAAGACAGCATTTTTGAGTAGCCAAATACTTGCACTAATTTGAGTTACTTACTTACAGAAAACAATGAAGATGGAACATAATACTATTTCTTATGAGGTTTTGGAAGGTTCTGATATCACACTATATATAGTGACCAAATGAAAACCAGAAAGGAAGAAACAATTAAGAAAACCAAGTAAGTGAAGGGGGTCTTACTTGGGCTAATAATTGTGACCATGATATTCTACTTACTTGCACTGTGCATGATAATACTTTATGAGATTCTGCAGCAGATCCACACCCTTTTTGGTCTTGATTTCATTAACTTTAATGAGATACTGTGGAAATAAAACAAAATTGTATGTTGCTCATTACAGATACAGTTTTACAGCCATGGGTTTGGGCAGCAGAACACCAGTCATGAATCCACAAAAGTTACTGAACCTTGGCTGCCCTCAGACAGTGTGAGTTTAATTCAGGAAATGCTGATTTGGCAGTCCCAAGTGTACAAATGAAATGATTAGAGTGTTAGCGTTTTATAAATGCTCATTAGTTGACAAGACAAGCAGAATCAAACATAGTAAAACATTCTAGAATAACTGATTATTTCCCCCTGGTGCAGTGGATCTCAAACTTAAGGGCTCATATGGTCAAAACATGAAGGATGGTTGACTGTTCTTTGCAGAAAACAAGGAAAACAGCATTCTCTTGAGGCATAGGCCATCACATAGCGGAACTTTCAGGAAGAATTTTTGGTATTCGAGAATGGAGGAATTAAAAAAAAAACGTGGAAGAATTAAAATAACCCATTATTAATTTATGCTGTTAACTAACACTACTAGGTCTGATTTTTACTAGTAGGTCAAGATTTTCTGTTGAGATTGTTTGCTTTTTTCCACTTGTTTTATTATGAGAAGTGTTTATGAGCAGATAGGTTTGAGAAGAAGCTTCAAGTATGGGGGGAACATTGAAAAAAGAAAAACTTGAAATTGATAAAATTCTATCCAACTTAGTATTTTCGGAGAACTGTAAACGGAACTCTATAACACAATGTTAGCGTCAGAATGGGCAGGATGCCAGGTCAGGGAGTGCCAGTGTTCACTGGGAACCCAGTTTGAGAACCACTGCTCTAAGTCCAAAGGAGCATGCTTTCATGAACTCAGGTTTTCTTAATCACTACTTTATTTAAGCTTTCATTCAACCCAGACATGTGGTTAAAAAAGCAATAAACATGCTCTACACCTGTATCAGGAAGACTTCATATTCACCAGGGTTACTTCTCACCAAACATTTTTTTCCACACTCACTCACAAGCAACATTAAAGTTCTCACCAAATAATCCTGTTTTGGCATAAAGAGCCCCCCAGGACCAAGGCTCAAAATATGAGACAACAGTGAAATGGCGGATCCCACAAGGCTTGGAGAAAAATGGAGACGAGAACCCTTAAGAAACGGTCCCCTCCTCTAATAACCAAACAGCCTGCATTTAAGCATAAAAATTCCCAACTAGCAGGAGAGATCACAGTTATGAAACTCCAGGGAAATGCTTGCAAAAGCCGTTCTTACTTCGCACATTTGGAGCTGGAAGAGGCGCCGTTCCTTCTCCATCTCTTCTGCAATCTCAGCCCCCGTGATCTCTGTCCGGATCATCCCGTGCTGCTTTGCATGCTCTCTTTTCTCCTTCTCAATCTTCGTGCTGTAGTTAAAGTAGATACCATCATTAAAAAAAAAGTTCTCGTCTTTCCCTCCTTTAACGAGAGCCACTAATTATTTCTTATTTACAAGGGCTAAGTGGCAGAAACTCTTATGTTGGTAACATTGGTCAAAAGGAAGAATCAGAGAGAACACACACACTGTAGAGATTAACACCTAGGGAACCTCTTACATTTTAACTGTGATCTTACACATGGATGAATTCTTTTTTTTTTTTTTTTAAGATTTATTATTTGAGAGAGGAGAGAGAGAGTGTGTGCACATAGAGGGGAGAGAGTCCTAAGCAAGCTCTGCTCTGAGCACGGCACCCAACACAAAGCTCGATCTCACGACCTTGAGATCACAACCTGAAGTGAAACCAAAAGTCATATGCTTAACCTAACCAAATGCGCCACCCAGCACCCACATGTGGATGAATTCTTATAAATTCTCTCATATTTTGGTGGGTATGAAGAAATATCGACAGTTGACTTTTTCTTGGTAAAGTACTTTACGATGAAAAAGACTCAGAAAGTTGAAGAACTGAGGCATATCTAGATTACCAACAGATGATGGGTCTGAGAATTATTTCAAGACAATCAAAGTGCACAAAAAGTAGTCAAAGGTAATTTCCAATATTTCTCTAAACCTGGGACATTTCCATATCCCCATAACACATTTTAATAATTCAACCATCTGGGACAATTATACAAAATAAGGATTCCAATTTGTAATTTGGAATCCTATAAAATGTTCTTCGGTGTGGAGGGGGCCAAGAGGGAAGGAGGCAATTACGAAGGAGGACCCATATTAAACCAACACAACCTGAGGCTAACGCTTGGCTATGATAGATGGTACACTGGCAGTAACACCAATGGTTATGACCCTCTTTCCGAAATAACTTGAAAACAGACCTCCAATTTCAGGAAGAGTGAATTTTAGTTGTGAATGCAAAGATGAACTGACTTGGCCTTCAAATCTTCTTTTAACTTGCAGTTGTAGGAAATCAAACCCCAAAGAGAGCCAATATCCCTGTCTATATACAAACATGGTAGAAAATCAACCCATGGGAAAATCTACTATAAATCTGGTTGGGATGACTCTAACACTGTAATGCCATATCTTTTAGCCATATTGGCCATCAAGCAGGCGTGAAAGCAGCTGGGGGTTAAGCCTCAGCTCTCTCCACTGGTGTGGGTGGGAAGAAAAGCAGAAAGCTAAAGACATTTGAGAAGAAGCACGAGGAGTAGACCTGAGTATCAACAGACTTTTGGGTTAATGTGGTGACTTGACCACATGTCTTCATTTCTTCTTCCTTCCATAATCCCACTAGGATGATATTAAAAACCATAAAGAATATAATCTCCCAAAGACAAGAACTGAAGACAAAAAAGGATGAGAGAATTCAACAGATACTTGGAAGAGCAGGTCTACACAGAGAAAAAGAGAAAGTGCACACCCCGAACCACAGGGGTACCTCCCTGGCCTTTGTTGCTTCCAGAATACCATAATATACAATCACCAGACAGGGGGCTGAGGGAACTGAATGATACCAGAAGACACGCCTCTGGATACTGACATTTAGAATGCTCCTGATTAATAAGCTGTCTTGGGGCCCCTGGGTGGCTCAGCTGGTTGCGCATCTGACTCTTGATTTTGACTCAGGTTCTGATCTCAGGGTCCTGGGACTGAGCCCTAGATCAGGCTCTGTGCCCAGCAGGGAGTCTGCTTGAGAGTCTCTTTCTCCCTCTGCCCCTCCCCACTCTCTCTAAAAAAGAAAAAAAAAAGAAAGAAAGAAAAAAAAAGAAGAAAAAAATCTATCTTGACATCCTAAAACCTAAAAAAGGGAGCTCACGGCATTCTTGCCTGGTCCTGCTGACAAGTATGAGCTTTCCATCAACTTTTGGGTGCTTTGCTCTCAGATATGAATGGGCAGTGAAGGATGGTAAGATAACTGAGGAAAACCTCCAAAATGAAAGCAAGAGATCAAAATAGCAAGTTGGGGGTGGTGGTGAGGTAACCAGAGGCAGTAAGAAAAAGAATATCTTGTAAAACATAATCAAATCCTCAGAGAGCTAAAATACTGTTTCTATGAAACAAGAAACTTAAAAAAAAATTTTTTATTACGTTTTGTTAGACACCATACAATACATCATTAGTTTCTGATGCAGTGTTTCATGATTCATTGTTTGTGGACAACACCCAGGGCTCCATGCAATCCGTGCCCTCCTTAATACCTGTCACCAGGCTCACCCATTCCCCCCACCCACCTCCCCTCTAAAACCCTCAGTTTGTTTCCCAGAGTTCATAGTCTCTCATGATTCGTCTCCCATTCCAATCTCCCCCCTTCATTTTTCTCTTCCTTCTCCTAATGTCCTCCATGCTATGTTCCATAATAATGTTCCATATGTCCTTATGTTCCACAAATGAGTGAAACCATATAATTGACTTTCTCTGCCTGACTTATTTCACTCAGCATAATCTCCTCCAGTCCCATTCATGCTGATGTGAAAGGTGGGTGTTCATCCTTTCTGATGGCTGAGTAAAATTCCATTGTGTATATGGACCACATCTTCTTTATCCATTCATCTGCTGAAGGGCATCTCGGCTCTTTCCACAGTTTGGCAATTGTGGCCATTGCTGCTATGGACACTGGGGTGCATATGGCCCTTCTTTTCACTACATCTGTATCTTTGGGGTAAATACCCAGTAGTGCAATTGCTGGGTCATAGGGTAGCTCTATTTTTAATTTTTTGAGGAACTCCCACACTGTTCTTCAAAGTGGCTGCACAAACTTGCATTCCCACCAACAGTGTAAGAGGTTTCCCTTTCTCTACAACTTCTCCAACATTTGTTGAAACAACAAGGAACTCTAAAAAGACCACCAAAACCTCCCAACTAATCAAGAAAAAGGGCTTTGGAAATTGAAAATATGACAGCCAAATAAAGTCGACTGAAACAGTGGGAATAAAAGGTTGAAAATAATCTAAAACATAACAGACAAATAGGACAGAAAAGAGAGGAAAATTATAACAACCACCTGGGGAGTCCAATACTATATGGTGAGGAATTTTAGGAGAATAAACAGAAAAAACAGATGGGAGGAATGACAGGAAACATTTCTAGAACTGAAGAACTAAAAATTGCAAGGAGAAGGTCAATGCATGCATGCGTGCAGAAATGTCGAACCTTTGGGGAAAAAAAGACTAACATTTTCTTTTCTTTTTAAAGATTTATTTATTTGAGAGAGAGAACGCACAGGGGAAGGGGCAGAGGGAGCGGGAGAATCTTTAAGCAGACTTCCCGCTGAGCGTGGAGCCTGACATGGGGCTTAATCCCAGGACCCTGAGATCATGACCTGAGCCGAAATCAAGGGTCAGATGCTTAATTGACTGAGCCACCCAGGTGCCCCAAAAGGTTAACATTTTCTAACTGTGAATAAGTGAACCCCTTCCCCAAACCCCCATGTCACACACAGAGAAATGGGGATCAAAGCCGCATCGGAATTTTTCATTACTCTGGAAATAATAAGACAGTGGAGCAATCTCTTCAATAGTTCGAGTGAATATGGTTATAAAATTAGGATTTTACATTCAGCCAAACTCCCATTCTGTGTGATGGCAGAATGAAGATATTTCTGGACATGCCAAAATCTGAAACATTTCCCTCCTTTAGAGCTATTCCCTGCAAACGACTAGAAGTAGCATGCCACCAAATATGGGACTGCTCCAGGAAGAGAAGGCAGGGCAGTCCCCATGGAAAGGCAGCCCAGCATGCCAGTGACACTTTTGATCTAAAGAGCTGTGCAAGGATTCTCCAGGACAGAAAAGAAGGGACTGACAGACAACCCAATGTTAGTCCACATATAATCACCGTTACAACGTAGAGAGTGTATTTTCTAAACAGAAACAGTATTTATAGGTGTTGGACATCGGTGGAAACAGATAACAAAAGTCCACAACACATTCATATAGACCAGGCAAATGCAGAAATGAGGCAATTATTTCATTAAGGAAAGGCAAAAAATGGTGCTGTAAGAATGGAAATCCATTATAAGACACCATTCAACTGCCCCCGAATATCTACACTCCCAGAAGTTCAAACACTGACAACTGGTTTACCCACACGCCGTTGCACGAACCGCACTGGCTGACCTGGGTGGGGGTGGAAATGTGACGAGGCTGGCCGTGCATGGAGCTAAGCCCTTATCTGCGGCAGCAGGAGAGAACACCGAGGAACACAGAGGCAGAGAAGCCAGGGGGCCGGCAGCAGGGGCGACAGGAGAGGGAGCAGCAGGACAGGAGCCCTGGGCTGACAACCGTTGTGTCTTTTCACAGGAAGTACGCCCATTGCCTACTTACGATCCCTTCTCCTGTTCCTCATTAGGAAAAGAAAGCTGCCTCATGAGGGGCAGCACGGACTCCCTGAGCTCAGTGTCTGGGGGGCAGCACAGACATTCCGACACAGACGTGTAAGGGCTGCTGTGATGGGTGCCCAGTCTGCCCTAGGACCTTTATGTTCTCCGATAAACTCTTGTCGGAGCCACTGTTACCGGGGCGTCTACTATACGCAGTCACAGTCTCAATCGATTCAAGTACTATTTGACGTTTGATGTATGGGTATTGTTTTGACCAACTATTATTTGATCATTAAAAATCTTGCTAGAAACTATTGACTGAGGGCCAGCTGTATCCAGACAGCAGTAGCAATAACATCAACATATTACATTATCTTGTCCTCACAGAAGCCTTGAGAAGTAGGTAATTCTTCTTCTTCTTCGTTTTTTGTTTGTTTTAATAATAGGTGAGGACCATCATCAAAGTTAAGTACCTTGGCTCAAGTAGTAGAACTGATAAGCTGCACCACCCAGCTTCTCCCATGGTCTCTGATTCCCCTGTGGTCTTAACCACAATGGCTCACTGCCTCCGGGGTTCTAAATGAAGACCACAGAGCAGCCACCCTGGGTTCTCACAGCTAATAAATTAACTTTTCTCTTTCTCTTATTTATTTATTTTTTTTTGGTATATCCTTTTGTTTTCTATAATTCATACTCAAATGACTCCTACCACATCGTATAATCAAATATTTGCTGTTTTCTTTTTTACTTCCTGTACTACTATACAGAGTGAGGAAGAAGCCTATCTTAGCAAAATAATTCATTGCCAGGGATTTATTAAAAAAGAAAAACAAAAATGTTTCTGGTGAAATCCTAGAATCAGGACCCGCTGAACTCATGAGTTCTGGTACACATTTGCAGATGTGGGTAATTCTTTCATTCTTTCGGTAGCTATTCCCTGTGCACTAGCTATGTGCCCAAGGTTCTGCAAGGTCCTGGGAGATCAGCACTAAACACAAGGACCGTGTGGTCTCTGTGCTCACCAAGGCCAGATGCTGGAGGGAAATATACAGACCAGTGAACAGCCAGACACATTCGAATAGAGTTGAGGAAAGTGCCGTGAAGGCACCTGGATCATCTGAGAACGGTCTGTGTTCTCTGATATTCATGATACTGACCAGCAGGAACTTTGAGCTCTTCCACCAACTCAAAGATGGTTTTAAAAATATGGTTGTGCCACCCAGTATTGGTGGTACTTTAGTTGAGAGAGCACATATTGTGTCTTGTTTTGTTATTTCCATGTCCTACAAAAGACATCTATTCCACAAGTCTAGCCAAAGTTTTTTTCTCCCTTTTGTGGACGCCTTCCCCTTTGCTATGTACTTAGTTCTACCCCAGCCCAGTACATGCAGCTGCCTCTGGGCAGGGCAAGATTTAGGTCACAAGAGTGAGCATTCATGATCCCCTTCCATATGGAAGACAGGATGGTCCACAGTATTCACTTACATCACGGACCATTTTAAGAACCTTTCTTGTTCTCGGCCGCCTTTGTAACCGTCAATGCATGAAAGTATTCCAAAGACAGCAAGTCTCCAGCAATGGCTCTGCTCACATAAGCACTTACGAAAGCAGTTTGGCAAAAAACAAATTTAATCCTGAATTTGTTTTTCTTTTGTTTGTGTTTTCATTCTGCTGTTACTGCTGTCGACGGAAATGGCTTTTATTCGCTTATGTTTATAGCCAGCCAAGTTCACAGCCAAGATTTTTATTAAGTGCTTTAAAATCTATTTCTCCCCCAACCCCACCTCCTGGCAATACAGATGTTTCTGGGTAATAATAACGAAGGAAGGGAGGGGTGCCTGGGGGGCTCAGTTGGTTAAGCGGCTGCCCTGGGCTCAAGTCATGATCTTAGGGTCCTGGGATCGAGCCGCGCATCAGGCGCCCTGCTAAGTGGGGAGTCTGCTTCTCCCTCTATCTCTGCCCCTCCCCTCGGACTCTCTCTTTCAAATACTTAAAATCTTAAAAAAAAAACAAAAAAAAACAAAGGCAGGTGGTATGATCCATACAGTATGAAGACGAGCCAGGCCCGTACCACATATCTCACGCACATCTTCACAATCCCCACAATAACCCCAGCAGGCCGGCCCGCGTGCCCGTCAGTGGCTGCTCCAGCCCTGGAGAATGCCAGCACAACACCGCCTACCTAGCTCTCTGACCTTCTGAAGTCTCCTCAGCCTCTCCAGGCTTCAGTCCCCTGAACCAGACGCAGACAGTGAGGTCACTGTGAGACGGTCATGCACACAGGAACACTGGTGTGCAGGCCCTGGCAGGCAGAAGGACGTCACAAACACTAGCTTTTATTATTTCCTAACTGCTAGGTAGGAATGTCAACAGTCTACAGTTTTGTGCTAACTATAATTAAAGAAAAGTCACAACTGTCAGATTTACAGCCTGATAGCTAGTAGCAGCAGCCATGCGTGCTGAAACACTGGGCAGTGGCCGCACCCCTCACTCCACACGACGAGGCAGCCGAGGAACTCCTTCTCGTTAGGTCAGCACACCCAAACCCTTAGCCCTCACGAGGATGTACTACACAAGCTGCAGTCCAGAAGAAAGGAGTGTTCCAGTTAATGGTTTCTTAAGAAATTCAACACTATAAAAAACAAACAAAAAGCTACTTACAACTTTGTCTCATAATCTTTCCAAGCTTTGTCAAATGGCTTCTTGAGATCCTTGGGAGAGAGAAAATGAAGCATAGATTGAATTTACTTTTGTTCAAAGGCAAATAAATAATTCTGAAAGAACATCTCAGCAAAAGTGCTTTCCTTTATAGGATGTGTGAAGCTTGACTCAGACGCTCATGGCGCAACACAGCACCCATCACCTGTAAGAAGCCTGCATAGGCCAGAAGGGCGAGCTTCCCAGGGACCCACGGGAAGCAGGACCTGGCAGCCAGGAAAGGCTGGGCCTGGGGGTCGCTGCTGATGTGGCAAAGACTCAGCGCAGACTGCCCGCACCCATGGAGGCTCTCACCCATATTCTGGAAATTGCCTCATCTTATTCCTCAGTCAATAACACGATGTGAAGTGGCACATCTTTTTAATGATCATCTTCCAAGTACTTTTTTTTAATGCTAAAAGTATTCAGAGTGCCTTTCAAATACAAGTACCACTATGATCTTAAAAGGAAAAAAAAAAAATCAATCCTTTCCGATTAAAATGAAAATCAAATTTCTGAACACTTACTCCTTTGACTCCCTTCAGGTCTCCTTTTAACAAGGAGTCCAAGGTGAAGATCACATTGTGGCTCAGGCCCTGGAGCTGGAAAGCAAAGCAAAGGGGGAAATGGTTAAAACAGGAGTGCATACAGAATAACAAAATAAGCTACTCTTGACTGAGCACCTTGCACACACCAGGATTCTGTGAAAGGGCTTTCATGCACCAGCTTACAGACCCCAGGGACCGCCCTGAAGCAGGTTGGTAAGACCACCTTCCCCTCCAGCATGTGGACAGAGAGCTGGGAGGCCGGGCTCTGGATGACCAAATGGCAACACAGGTGCACCTATATGAACAATTCCTCAAATCATCTACAGACCTGTCACTGTTCTCCTATGACACGGTTGACCTTAATTTGACTCTTCTTCAACTGCCTCTGTCAGAAGAAGGAGAGAACTACCCAACTGGCTTGTACCACTCCATTTCATATGTTTCTGTGGCCTCTGTCACTCTCTGAAATTCCCTGATTTATATGTATATTCTCTGTCCTCCACCAGGACGTAATCTCAATGAGGACAGAGACCTCAACTGTCCTACTCACTGCATCCTCTCTGTGCCCAGATCCATTAAGAAGACAAGATATTCAGGAAGCCCAATATAGAGCAAGGGTGCAGTTTTCACTGCTCCAAGGCAGTGGTGTGCGTCTCCTTGATTTTAAGATGGTATAAAAGACGGTCATAAAGAGACAAGGAGACTCCTAGCACTTTGGGGAAATCAGGGTTAGTTGTGTGGGACCAAGATGGCAGGGACCCGCAGAACCAGGTTGCATGTGGAAAAGTCGGTGGGCTCCCCCATCCAGGAAATGATTGACTCCTGG